CTGTGTGTTTGCTTTTAAACATCAAATTTGAGTTTGTGTCATGTTTTGACTGAAATTATTTTTAAATCTAGACTTTGTGGTGCTTGAGGGCCATCTGACGTCAGGGAACTGATAGCCAGACTGAAAAAATAAAATACGGTAAAAATAAATAAATAAAACACAAGCAGGCAGTGTCAAATAATGGATCTTGTTTTTATCATCAAAAAACTCAGATTAGCATGTCCTTGAATGCACCACCAGTTAATGTTTTAATTGCTGCCGGTGATGAAACAAATTAATTCAATTTGAAAGTGATAATTTTTACGAGTTTACTTAAATGAAGACACAATTTTCATATTTTAAAAGCATGTTTTAAGGAGACATTTTCTCTACTAGAATTAAAAATACAATTCAATAGACAAGAATCTTGAAAGCAGAATTAACAAAGGTTTGGTAAAGTTTTAAAGTTTAGAGCCTGTATCTCACTGGGCTGAGACTATAGTCGTTTGCAAGTTTCTAAAACGTTTTATAAACCGTTTGAGTTTCTAATTTCCTCATGCGAGTCAAAGTGCCTGACGTTTGCATTGCACAAATTTCAAATATATTATATAACATTTTCCTCTCAACAGTTAAGAGTTGTCGTCTCATTTTTGTTTCCATGGGATAGAAAGTGCGAGACAACTGAGAATTTGGCAACCTTTGAATCTAAAGTTTRCATTTACTTATAGCAACAAAACATTGATTAAATTGGAAGGAAAAAAAACACATCTGTTGCAGAAAAATCTCCATTTATTTGCAGTTATGTGCAAACATGTCATAAATATTCATTCTTATACCAAATTAAAAAATGGCACCTGTTGTGTCAAACCAGCCCTGTGAGATACAAGCCTAAGGTCTGTGTGTGTGTGTGTGTCATTATCAGTCTTTCCCACATGTGCTTTTTGGTCCAGTTTGTCTTGAAAAAGCAGTCACTCAGGTCACTTTTTTTCCCCCTTGCAGATGAAGAGTAAGAGTTTCTCCCTCCCTGCTGACGGCTCTCTCAGAGGGGACGAGGACGACGGTTTGATTCCCGTCTCAGGCTCAGGGGTTGTTTATGATCTGCCTCGGCCGGCCGTAGCCTGTCATGCCGGCCTGGGACGCCCCTCTGTTCGTGCCCATCTGCAGGCCGATGACGTTCCGGCCCTCGTTCAGCTGATCCTCCGAGAACTCCCTCCGGTTCTCCTGAGACTTTCTGCACACACGCAGACACGCAGCTTTCAACAACACATTCCTCACACCTGGGTCTTTCCACAGACAGATTTAGTCACATATAAGGGGAGGAAACATGCAGGAACTTACTTAGGGAACCAGTTGGGATCTCCTTTGTAATTCCCGTCACTCTTTGTGACAGCCAGACTACCCAGGGCCAACAGGGTCCTCTGGACAGCAGCCAGGTCTTTTCCTGTAGACAGGCATCAGTCTCACATGAACAAATATGCAGAAAGGAAACACCTGCACTCGTTTAAAAACAGCAAAATGACCCGTCAGAATAGCCTTACCCTCGTACAGATCGACAGTCTGGAACATGTCCGTTTTGACAACGCCGTAACTTTCAGCAGCTTTGAGGAACATGGAGATTTGCTCCATCTGCTTGAAYGCCATGGTGGACGTTTTGATGGTCTTGATGGGTTTGTTGGCTCCATGCAGGCTGTTGATGAGCTCACAGAGCACCTACAGACAGAGGAGCAGCTCCCTCATTAATGCTGTCACCGGTTTGATCTACGACAGCCTCTTTAATTAGAGGCGACACTCACGCAGCCGTCCTTGAGCCAGTTTTGGAAGCCGATCTTGTCTGGCTGAGGCTGTCCCACGCCAGGGCCACACTGAGCTTTGATCCACGCCACCAGTCTCTCCTCCAGCTCCGGGTCGTACTTCTTGTCAATTTTGCTCTGGACCTCACGGCTCAGACCGTAGGAGGGACCTTTGTTTGCCATGTTTGATCCTGTTGGGAGGGAACGTCAGTGTTTGATCAGCAGTGACAACCAAATCCCTGATCTGAGGCACACACCCAAAACTATCAGCACATAGTCTGAACGATGAAGAAGTTAGATCCTCCAATCAAGTCTAAGTGAGATCTTTTTAAGCAGGGCTAGCCATTAAACAATCCAATCAGTTTAGAGAAAAGTTAAATCTGACCAGATGGATGATCTAATGGCTAGTCTGAGCAGAACCCAAACCAAAGTGGTCTCCTGCCATCTAAAGACTTCAGTCTAAAACAGTTCACATGAACTAAAGCAAACATCTGATAACCAGATGGAGAAAATGAGTTTGATGGGAGTGTGATGACAGTAGCGCTGCTGAGCAAATGGGATAGACGAGTAAACAACAGATCACTAAGGAGCATAAAATAAATACATTTAGAGTGCAAAATAACCTTGCAACAAAACACCAAATATCAATCTAAAGCATGAGAATAATAAAAAAGATCAAAATTAAAACTACAAACACATAAATACCCCACATTCTAGACAGAAAGCTAGCTGTTAGCTTGTCAATCTGATCAAAATTAAAACTTTACCTTCATAGTGACATCATTTWAAAAGGCCATCTACAGCAGGTAAGATACTGACAGTTCAAGACTTTGATTGAACCTTAAAAAGAGCTAAACCAGGGATATTTAGCTAAATTTCTCAGGAGGCCACAGTTACTAAAAGCCAACAACTGGACATCTGGCGTTGCTTGAAGACAACATTTATCCCCAAAACAATCAAGATGATTATTGTGGGGATAAAATAAAATTTGTTTATTTTGTTGCATTAAATCATATTTAAAAATGATTTGAATTAATTTTTATATTTACATTAAGTCAAAACATTTGTTTTTTTTATTGGCTGGCCAGACGGAAGTTACCAGAGGGCCAGATGTGGCCCACAGACCGCCAGTTGAATAGTCCTGATCCAAACTCCCACTTAAATTCTTCAAGATGATTCTTGTTGAAAACTAAGACAAACTTACATCCGTTTTCTGCTAAATATTCAAGCAGAAGCTGAAGAAAACTGACATTTGTTTGATAAAATAATTAAGTCAGTGTGTTGTCTTTAACAACAGATCTAAATTAGAACATGAATAAAAAAATGTGCTCAGTCAGAGTAATGCTTGTTTCCATCGTCCTGRCCATGCCAGTGTAATTATCCAACAAGACATTGTGTCCCGTGTAAATTAAAGAGCTGGATGTCTCACAGAATTACAGCCCTGCTGCTCCAAGTAATTACGTCTCACTTATTAATTCTGTATGAACTTCCTTTCAGCAGAACCGCCCTGCTCGCTGCATCCTGTTTGCTCATTCTGCTGTCACTTCCTCCCCCATTTCCTGACAAAAGGTGACCGTGTGCAGAGATGATAAACAGAAGGCAGGGTTCATCACCATGGGAATGGCTGTAAACAGATCAACACGGCTCCCARACAGATCAGTAAGAAACATCAGAATGGTTTATTTAGATGTAAACTGCATGCTTCTGCATTTCCTGAATTGAGAGAACATGTTTTTCCAACCAATAGGAAACATTTTCCTGCTTTTGTTTTGTTCACTTCCTGTCCGAACATGAGCATGATGCAAAATCAAATGAAAAACAGTTACTGCCTTTTTTTTTTTTTTTGACATTTGCATATTTGTGCAAGCATCTGTTTTACATTTGTTTGCAGGGAACAKAGTTCAAAACAATTCATGAAGCATGTTTTTTTTCCCCTCCAGTACAGAGACACCCTTTTGTCCCCGTGTAAAAACAAYAGGACCGTGTCAGTCCTGCACAATAAGTGATGTTTGACAAATCCTTCACACATGAGATCWCTTGTCTCTTTTCACTGTCTTCTGGTTTCTTCCAGAACCAGTTTGTTGTTGCAGCAACGAGAGCCGAAGCAAAACACCAAATGTTTCTCAGTCAGAGGAGCTCCACGTGCGATGTCCCAGCATGCCTGGCTAACACGGCGCAGCTGCAAACATCAGGGACTTATCTGAGCAAACAATCAGGGACGATGAACAGTTTTTATCTAAATTGTACTTTGATCCACTTTGGACCCCTCGTCAGTTTACTTGTTTGCCCTCCCCAAGCATGTCTGACATTTGTTCTGGTAGATGCTGCATGTGGGCCTAATTGAGCCAAGGTTCTGGATGATTTCCAATGAAGCTGCTTGGAAACATCTTGAAAATCAGAGTCACAACTGCAGAGTCTTTGGGCTGCTGAGGTCAGATTATTTATGAAAATAAACAGTTTCTCCAAACTGATGTATTTGGTCATTTAATCTCTTTAATCTCTATAAATGCTTTGCAATGAGATTATTCTACACTTACGAGGACTGGAGGACAAAGTCTTCACAGTTCACTAAATTACATTTGTCTTGTTCCAACAGGCCTTTAATCACATTCTGTATTTTGCACAACATGTTTTCCATCTTGTAGTCGATTGTAACTGATCAACATAATCAGCATGATATCATGCTTATCTTTGTTTTTTGACGTGACAACATTATCCAAACAAAAGCCTTTTATCTTTAATGGGATACAGCTCAGACGGTTTAAGTAGAGTTCTGTGGAAAAGTTAATATCTTACTTGTAGAGAACTCTTTAAATGACTACAGTGAGGAAAAACAGCCTAAAACTGACAAGCTAACAGAGGTTACAGTACTGTAATTTATTTGAAAATCTGTTTTTTTACCGCACATTTTTGTAACCTTTACTTTTTTGTTACATTCAAAACCTAAAATATGCCTTTACTTCTTCACTTTAAAATTTCATACCTAGACAAGCTACATATTTAAAAGATGACCAGAACTCTTTATGAAAGGAGTTGTGTATGCACTCTATAAAATGAAGCATTTAATTAAAAGAAAATGTGTAATTTCCTGTTTACTCAATTCAGTTTGGTGGAACCAGTAACTTCAGCACTTCAGAGTGTAAAACTCATTACACTTCTCTGATAGTTGTGAGCAGTTTTAGGACTTTTCCCAAACTACTTTTCTTACCAGTAAAATAAATGTTTACCAAAGTCGTTTTCTGTTATGGTACTTTTAGGTGTTTTTACAAGTCCTTTACCCACCTCTGGCTAACAGCTTGTGGGAAGTGGATGACTGTCAGTTTCAGTTTGTTGATTGGCAGCAACATCCTTTGATCTTTGCTTCACTTGGACAAACTGTTGGCTCGTTAATCTAGTTAAAATTAAGCTTTTCTACAAACTATCTTAACCCCAGTCTGGAACACTTTAAATCAGAAACATGATATTTTTTCAGAATAACTTAATGGTGGTTTTAAAGATTTATTTAAATTATTTAAATAGATTTTTTTCTTTTTTAGATAAAGCTTTTAGGGGTTGAAATAGTTTTTAAGACAAAAGTCTACTTTGCTTTTGGCTCCACGTGGCTCAATCTGGTCAAGATCAATTTTCGTTTCTCCAAACTGAAGTCGTTCRGAGGCCTCATTTCCACATAATCCAAAATTTCACTTTCACTGAACCGCCCCATGGCTCAGCTTTTATTTAAAACAAATAACAACTCATACTGTTTTCACTCAGCTCATGTCACTCTAACGCAACACCAGATGTTCCTTTTTTCTTCAGTATTTGACAGCTTTTGCCAGAACTCTGACATCTGATCATCAGTTGACCTCTTCTGCTACGAGGCGTTTCACAACTTGTTTTTTCAGCTCTGACCACGTTTTAACAAAGATGATATCAGCTGTGACATATCTGACTGCTGCTCCAGCTGATTTCTAAAAAAGCAACCAGTCAAAGTGGTGAAGGGCCTCTCTTCTCAGACATGTGACTGATAAACTCAGCCGTTCAGAATGGATTTCCTGAATCAGGAGCTTAGTGCTCAGAGTTAAGTTGATATTTTGAAACAGGAGAGAGAAGTCAGGCTGAACTCAACATTCCTTGAAACAGTTGGGCGTTTTCTTGCCTTGAGCAAAAAAAAAAAAAAAAAGGAAGGTTCACACAGGAATGATTAAACATCAACTCTGAGTATGATTAAACATGTGCAAGGAGGAAGGAGACAATGAGAGAGGGTGGGGTAGATGAAGCTGCACCATTTCATGCTTCCTGCATTGAGTGAGCAGGCGAACAAACATTTGAAAAGTCAGAAAGAATCCAGGAATGTGAGCTGAAAGAGGAGGCGAACAGGGTAAATCACAACAAAAAACAAGAGGGACTCACTTACTTTGTGTTGTAGTTTTCAGGTGAGTACAGGTGAGCCTGGTCTTGTGTTCCCGCTCCTCTTCTTCCTCTTCAGCTCAGTGCAGAGTGCTGCCAGCTCAGAAACAGCAAACACCCCCTTGTGTGAACTATATGACTTCACAACCAGAGAGAGTGAGGGAGAGAGAGAAACGCCTTCAGGCCTGCTCGTTTCCACTCCTCGACACGCCCCTATGCCTCATTTTCCTGTTCTCCACTCAAAATGTAATTCCTTATTTAGGAATAGGACAGGAAGGAGGGGGAAAAAAGGCAGAACATGTGACTTTATAGTGTGGTGTGGTCACTGAAAAGAATTCTTAAAATTTCCTTCTACACCACTGGAGAACAAAAAGGAATTAGGAGGGGAGGAGAAGAGGGAAGTTTGAGGAGATGAAGTGATTAGAGAGCAGTCACACACATGAAGCAGATTAGTTGTGCTGATGTGAACGTGTGTGTGGTTTTTTTTTTTTTCAGGTCGGACAGAAACTGAAAGACAGGATGCTGTCAAACAGAAAGGAAATAAAGAGGAACGGGTCATGTTTTATTTTTTCTCAGCAGTTACAAAACTCTGACAAATCTGTGCCGAGCCTGGTGTTTGTGCATCGTTTCAGCAGGACGATAAGGAGAGACACTCCCTTTGAAGCATTCCAACGTTTCCGACCTCCTCCCTCCTTGGTGGCAGCACAGCAAGCCAGGACCTGGCAGGGCCTTTTCACTCAAACTGACATCATTTCTGACGTGAGAACTGTCAGGAGCTGGCAGGGTCTCTGCAGTCGTCAGTCAGGAAAAGATGCTGCTGTTGATTCTCAGTTCTAGCAAAACATTGAGATAGCAACCAAGTAACAGTTCCTGTTTGTTTTTTCCCCACTGCAACAAAACTACATCAGCTGAAACCTCTGATTTAACGTAATTTGTGGTTTCAGTTTATTATTAAAAAAAGAACGGAGAATGTATGTTTAAAACTGCATCCAACCAAGGAGAAAATAGTGATAAAAAAGCTGGTTTATCTGTTAAAATATCTCAACAACCAAAAACATATTCAATAGAAGCACATATGTCTTAGAAAGCAAAGTAAATTTGATATATTGAGCCCAAATTTAGTTTTAGCAGAGTCCTGAACCCATGTTGAGATCACAGATTGTTCACGTGGTTTGACTAAAACTTCCTCTTTTCCATCTCAACACAAGGCTGCAGTTAAAACTCTACTCACCTTCAAGGAACGGTTAGACTTCATTTGTATCCGTTCTTTGCTATTTCCATGCAATTTGAAATGAGGTTCCAGGGAAAGGCTGCAAACAATTAATATCTTACCTGTTGTAGCTCCCTTGGGAGAGCAACGTTTCATTGCTGTGAGGAAGTGAACAACGTTAATCCAAACTGTAGACTGCAGGAGCCCCGAGACTACTTAAAAAATAAACAGCTACAAGAAAAAAAAAAAACAAAACAAAGGAATAAACACAGGAGACAACAGGAACATGTGAAGCCAACAGGAGAAAGAGAAGCAGGAAGGACTGGAAGCTGATTACAGATGCCACTAAATTATTTATTTATTTATTTATCTCAGAAAATTATATATGTATGCACATAAAGAATTAAAAATGTAAAAAGAAAAAAACAGATATCATTAAGTGCACAGGGTGATGAGCTAACAGCTACTCTGATAGCAGCTCGATCATTGTCTTAAAACAACTCTGATTTATAGAGTTTCACATCATTTCCCACAAACACTCTTTTAAAAAGGTCTCTATTCTGGCCATTTTTCACATTTTGTACTTTGTACTAGTTTCCAGGGTTATTTGCATGCAACATATTTCAGCAATTCTAATGCAACATGAGGCACTTCCTGTGTGTTAGCGCAATTTGTTTAGCAGCTCTGATAAAAAAAGATGCTTGCAGCTTCAGTTCTGTTCGACCATTTACTCTTCAATCTGACGAATATTAAACTCTTTCACCTTATGGTGTCTCGTAAGAAAGGTAGGATATTAACTGATCGTCTCTGTTTCGAACAACCTCGTTTTAAAAAGGCAACTATCCCTTTTAATAACTGACAGAAAGATCTTTGTTGAAAAGTATGTAAACTTGTTGAGTCAGCAGAAAGTTGAGAAATTCTACATGTGGGTGAGCTCTAAGGCAAGAGCCACAAAAAAGTGACTATCAGACACTTTTTTCTCCTCACACCTTTTTTTTTCAGCCAGTAAAAAAATGGAAGTAAAACTATATTATTTTACATCATCAGTCCTGCTTGATTTGTATTGTATGTTTTGATATTTTTAGCTATTTTTGTTGCCTTTCTACCTTTAAATGATACGATAAGGGAGCTAAAAGCTTCAGGTTGGTTCTCTGCTCTGTAGCAACATCTGGTGGTTCCCAGAGGCAGGCAGACGTTTGGCACTTTTCTTCTTTTACAATATTGTGTCAGTGCAGCAGTGTGTTCTTTTGCAGATAACAGTCTAAATCAGTCTATGTGCAGATAATGTTTTTAATGATGTCTGGTTTGATCAAAAGCTGCTCTGGAGTTAAATGAGAACAATTTAATGCAGAGTAGGTGGTCCTATTTGGACTTAGTTTGTTATATTTGATCCATCCATTCATTTTTTTACTCTCTTTTTCCTACCTGTGTTTGCAGGAAAGCTGGTACAAGTTGCAAAACATGCAAACTCCACCTAGAAAGGCCAGGCGGTGTACCTGTGACCTTTTCTTGCTGTGAGGCAACAGCAAACCACTTCACCACTGTGCCATGTGGTGTATTTGTTTGCAGTTATCATGTTTTTTGTGTGTGTTTAGTAGTTKCTAAGTACTTCTCTGACTGGTTGCTAATTCCACAACACATGAGACAGCAGATCAGTGAATAMGTCATTCCAGATTTTATACTAACGTAGAAAATGTGGGTGAAAAATCAACATAATCTCACCCACAGCTCTCCCATAGCACACATCACACAGCAAATAAACAAGAGTGACAGTAGGACATTATATATATA